CATGATTGACCACAGGATGAACATGAGCCTTCAATGTGATGCTGCAGCTAGTAAAGCAAGCAAAACGCTGGCTTGCATCCATAGATGCTTCTCAAGCAAATCCCAGGAAGTCATTCTCCCATTGTACTCGGCCTTGGTGAGGCTGCAGCTGGAGTATTGCATCCAGTTTGGGGCTCCACAATTCAGAAAGGATGTGGAGAAGCTTGAGAGAGTCCAGAGAACAGCCACGTGCATGATCAGAGGTCAGGAAAACAGACCTTATGATGACAGGCTGAGAGCTATGGGACTCTTCAGACTGGAAAAGCGCAGGCTCAGGGGCGATCTGGTGGCCACCTATAAGTTTATAAGGGGTGTCCACCAGGATCTGGGGGAACATTTGTTCACCAGAGCGCCTCAAGGGGTGACAAGGTCTAATGGTTATAAACTCCTGCAAGATGGTTTCAGACTAGATATAAGGACGAATTTCTTTACTGTCCGAGCCCCCAAGGTCTGGAATAGCCTGCCATTGGAGGTGGTTCAAGCACCTACATTGAATGCCTTCAAGAGAAAATTGGATGCTTACCTTGCTGGGATCCTATGATCCCACCTGACTTTCTGCCCCTGGGGCAGGGGGCTGGACTCGATGCTATTCCGAGGTCCCTTCCAGCCCAAATGTCTATGAAATCTATGAAGCTGCAGCATGGGAAACTGAGGTTAGAGATGAGAAGGAATCTTCTGACATTGGAACAAGGTGCCCAGACTGTGGTGGAGTCCTCAGCTTTGGGAATGTTCAACAGACACTTGGCTGGGATGGTTTAAGCTTCTACGAACAGTATTTGATGAAGTCAGTTTGACATCACTAAAGTTTGTGTTCTCTCTATATCTTATTTTGTTAGTCTATAGGGTGCACATCTGCCCTGCCTTTTGCCTCGCTTCAGATGAACATGACTAACAACCTCTCTCTGCGATGGTTTAGTTAGGGATGATCTTGCCTTGAGCAGGGGGCTGGACTGTATGTAACCTCATAAAGGTCCTGCTAAGCCAACATCTATTGTTCTCCTTCTTGAATCTCAAAGAACACCCAATTTCAACACATTATTCCTGTCTTGAACTCGCCATTTGCTCTTAAGCCAGAGGCTGTGTCTGGAACACAATCTAGGGCCTTGGAATTTTCCTCTTTGTACACATGGTATCTGCCAGCTGAAATACTTAGGCACTTCTCTGAAGCTTCTGGCCAGAAAAGATATTCTGCTGATTTTTCTGCCACACAGAATGAGCAATGAGTGAGTAATGACTATGATCGGGCCATCAGTGTAACTCCAAGTAGAGCAGTGAGACAGATTCAGTCTCGTGAGACCCAGAAAGCACCACACAGAGAAGGACAACAAGGTTGATGAATGGCATGGAAGGACTTATATATGAGAAGAGAGTAACAAGGCCAGGCCTTTTCAGTTTAGAAATGAGATGCTTGAGGGAGAATATGAGAAGTATTTACAAAATACTAAACGGTGAAGAAAAAACCAATAGGGATTTATTACTGACTAGCTTTCAGCAGACAAGAACTAGGGGTCACAACATGAAACTAGGAGGCACTCAGTTTAAACTAGTAAGTTTAAATTCATAAGTAGTCAGTTTAAAACTCACAAAAGGAAGATCTTTATCACCCAGCATGTAATTAAAGTGTGGAACTCATTGCCCCCAGATGTGGTGGAAACTGAGCGTTTAGCCTGATTCACAAAGGGATTGGACACATCCTTGGAGGAAAGGGGCATCAGTAGCTATGGAGCATGGGAGTGAGGGACACAGCCTCTGAATCAGAACTTCCCAGACCTTAAATGGTGGAGGTTGCAAGTGAGAGCGGAATAGGGAGAAAGTCCTGGTCAGACTCAGTTCACTCTCCTTTTCAGCATCTGCTCTCTGCTGCCGTGTGATAAAGGAGACTGGGCAAGATGGACCTAGGGTCTGGCCCAGTAAGTGTCAGTTCTTATGCTCTAAAGAGACCAATTGTTCATTTCACCCAGCGGTTGCCCGAACTCCAAGGCCTGGATCATCATCATAGATTTCAATACCAACGGGGGCCATGACATCATCTCATCTGACATATTGCATCACAGGGTGGAGAATTCTACCCTGGGAAACCTATCTCTTGCCAGAGATTTAAAAGGATCAGAGGATGGAAAATCCACCTCTTGGTAGCTGGTTCCCCCCATGGTGAATCACTCTCAAGATGATCTGAAGTGGAGGTTTAGATCTGGAGATGAATTTTAGGCTTCAGCTTTAACTGACTCTTGGATCTCTCTCACTTTTCTAGTGATCCACCCTGATGTTACCTAGGAAGTCATAAGTCCCCTGGAATGTACTGGATAACATGGTGATATGCATCACTTCATGCCCTGGGTTTTGGGGACAGGCCCTGACACCTGGTTTGCTCCACCCCCAGCACGGCTCTGTGGGCCGGATCTGGACTGTGGGCCATTAGTTGGACCCTCCCTGCGCCCCTTCCAATGTCACTACTGGTGCTTTTCCCTTTGCCATGACCAAACGTTTTCAGAAATCCCATAAGATTGGTGGCAAAGCGGGTATTGTCCTCAGAGGCTGGGGAGGGAGGATGCATCAGAAGATCTCTGTTACCTAAGCCATAGTAGTCATATACAGTCACTGATGCTGGCTGGATGAGCCCCACCTCGAAGAACTGGTGTGCTTTGAACTTCAAGCATTCATTCTCTGTATGGGAAACCTGCAGGAGGAAAGGGGGAGGTAAAGACTGATAAAGCATGAGGAAGCCAGGGCAAGCAGGCACAAATGAAGCCCTTTATCCTCTCTGAGTGGCATTGCAATCCTGTTTCCCTGCCCAATCTACTGCTCTGCTTTTTGCTCCTTGACCTGTGCTCCCTGCCCCATTGGCTACTCTGCTTTCAGCTCCCTGCCCTGGTGCTCCTTGCCCAATCCACAGCTTTGTTTTCTGCTCCATGCCTAAAATTTCTGCTCCCTGCCCTGTGCCCCCTGGCCCACCTGTAGCTCTGCTTCCTGGTCCCTGCCCTGTACCCCCTGCCTGATCTTTTGCTCTGCTTCCTGCTTTTGGCCCTATCTGTGTTCCCTGCTCCTTTACTGATCTGCCTTGTGTTGCACATAGAGGCTGCTTGTGACACTTGTGACACACATGCGTTGGATTAGGCTTTTTGTATATAGGGCAGGGAGGAAAAAAGGGAACGGAAAGGCTGATTTACTGGACATTAGCCAGGGCACCTCTCATTGTAGTCAGGGAGAACTGTGGTCCTACAAGGTGGAAGCAGGAGTAGAACCCAGTTCACTAAGAGCTGGAAGGGGATACAGGCTTTTGAGAAGCTCTTACCTTATCCAGGTAAATGAGGAGGGTGCTTCTTTCAGATGCGGCCTTCTCCAATTCGTACTTGGATATGTACCTGTCAACACCTCTGGAGAGCTAAAGCAAGAAGCAGTGTGAGCAGGGGCAGATCCAGGTGCAGTGAGGCAGTTGCACCTCCCTTTACTCAATGTTTCACCCCTCCCCCCCAAATCAAGTTTGAAACAAACTGCCTGGCAGTGGCAGCAGCATTTCTATTCAAACAGCAGTGAGGGAGACAACTGACTTTGTGGCTCATTGCAATCTACCTGATTGAGTGACTTAGACAAACCAGAGATGGGCCAAAAGAAATCTCATGAGGTTCAACAAAGATGAGTGCAAAGTCCTGCCCTAGGACAGAACAATCCCATGCACTGGTACAGGCTGGGGGCTGACTGGCCGGGCAGCAACTGTGCAGAAAAGGACCTGGGGGTTACAGTGGACAATGAGCTGAATATGAGCCAGCAGTGTGCCCTTGCTGCCAAGAAGACTAATGGCTTACTGGGCTGCATTGGTAGGGGTGTTGCCAGTAGGTCAAGGGAAGTAATTATTCCCCTCTATTCAGCACTGGTGAAGCCACATCTGGAGTACTGTGTTCAGTTTTGCCCGCCCCCCAGTACAAAAAGGGTGTGGACAAATTAGAGAGTCCAGTGGAGGTCGACAAAAATGGTGAGGGGGCTGGGGAACATGACTTATGAGAAAAGACTGGGGGAACTGGGTTTATTTAGTCTAGAGAAGAGGAGACTAAAAGGAGACTTAATAGCAGCCTTCAACTACCTGAAGCGGGGTTTGAAAGAGGATGGAGCTAGGCTGTTCTCAATGGTGGCAGATGACAGGACAAGGAGCGATGGTCTCAAGTTGCAGCAAGGGAAGTTTAGGTTAGATATTAGGAAAAATTTTCTCATTAGGAGGGTAGTAAACTTTGGAACAGGTTACCCAGAGAGGTGATGGAAGCTCCACCCTGGGGGTTTTCAAAACCTGGCTAGACAAAGCCTTGGCTGGGATGATCTAGTTGGGGCGGGTCCTGCTTGGAGCAGGGGCTTGGACTAGATGACCTCCCTGAGGTCTCTTCCAACTCTAACTTTCTATGATACCTGTGAAACACTTCACTCTACAGGCATTACTAACCTTCTCTCCTTTTAAATGGTTTTGATGTTCCAGTAATTAAGCTAGCCCTTTCTTCTGCAATGCTGCTGTCTGTGAGCTGCTCCTGGTCACATAGTTTAATAGCCATGAATAGATCAATTCTCCATGAATTTATCTAGTCCCTTGTTCAACCTTGCTCTGCTCTCTGCTGCCAACATTTCCCGTGGCAATGAATTCCATAAATTAACTACATGTTGCTTAAAAAAATCCTATCTCCTGTTCATTTCAGCAGATGCCCACTGATTCTAGTATCCTGGGACTTGGTGAACAACAGTGTCCTGTTTACTTGGTCCACATCCTTCATGATTTCATAAATCTCTATCCTATCTCCCTCAGCCAGCTCCTTTCAAAGCTTAAGAGTCCCAACCTTTTTAAGTCAAGATTTCATAGTTTCATAGTAGCTAGGGTCAGGAGGGACCTGAAGAGATCATCTAGCCTGACCCCCTGTCACAGGCAGGAATGAATGCTGGGTTCACAAGACCCCAGACAGGTGATCATTCAACCTCCTCTTGAATTTGCCCAATCTTTGGGTAAATCTGATATCTTTTATTAGACCAACTCAAGTAGTTGGAAAAATTCTTTGCAAGCTTTCAGGTATAAATACCCTTTGTCAGGCTAAGGAAGCATCTGCAGTTGATGTGTGCTCAACCTGATGAAGAGTATTTATACCAGAAAGCTTTCAAAGAAGAATTTTTCCAACTACTCGAGTTGGTCTAGTAAAAGATATCAGATTTACCCAAAGAACCTTGTCTGCCTATGTCCTTAGACCAACACAGCTACAACCTACACCCCCAAACTTTTTAAGACACCGCAGAAGTGTTCAATGATTGTCTCTCCTTTCTTAGTGGTGTTGATATTCCACTAATCAAACTAACCTTTCTTAGAGCAATGTTACTGTCTGATAGCCAAGCCTGGTGTCTCTTTTCCTATTTCATTGCCTTGGACACACTTTAGTTCTTCTTAAAATCCTAGATCCACCCACAGAGACTAGGCTTCAGCAGAAGCTAAGGTTTCAGCTTTAGTTAAACTGGAAAGGGAGGGGGAGTGAACTGAAGACAAGGCTCTGTCTCTGCTCTATGCAGCCATAACTGGAAAAATCCCTTCATTTTACCTTTCAAAAACAAGGTGCAACTTATATCTTGGTCATGTTGTATGTCAGAAAATATGGTATTTGAAGTCCCCCATTACTGCTCACAAATTCATCTGGGTCCATCTAAGCACCAGCACTGGTTCTGAAGTATCTCCCCCCTCCTTTTCTCTCACTTGGCCCCTGCCACCATGTGGAAAGTCTCAACATACCCTGTTCAGATCCTCTGTGTCTGGAGAGAAGCCTGTGAGCATGGAGATGTCAATGATGGACATGGTGGCATCTACTTCACCTAGGAACCTGGCACAGGAAAGAGGAGACCTTGGCATGAGAATTCAGGGCTGAGAAAAACATGGGACTACTGGCTTGGTGAGCCTGCCCTGTTTCTTTCTAATACAATAAATGCCAGATGATGTATGCATATGTGGGTTGTGGGGGGGTCAACTTTTTTGGCAGGTGGGCTACAAATTAGCCTCACACTTTCCCCCAGTTCCACTCTGATTCCTGTCACCTGCCTGACCAGCTGCTCTGCTTTCTACTCCCTACCCAATCTGGGGCAGTGAGAATTGGATAGGGAGCAGAAAGCAGAGCAGACAATGGGGCAGCAAGCACAGGGCAGGGGACAGAAAGAAGAGCACCAGATCAGGCAGAAAGCAGAGCAGCTGATGGGGCAGGGAACACAGGAGAGCCTGCCCCTCCCCCCTCACATACTCTTAGGGGCTCAATAGCTCTGTAGGGAGAATGGCCCATCCCAGGCCTGCCTGGGTGTCTCTTCTATGCCCTGGGGAGGGTGGTTGACCCCCCCGCAACCTGGTGCCACTTCTGTAGAGTGAGTCACTGGGAAAACCATGACACAAAGAGGCACAAACAATAGGCCAAGCTAGGGGCATTTTCTCTCCGCCACAGGCACCTCCATCCTCAGCTGCAGAGCCAGGCTTTTGGCTTCAACAAGAAGGGACTCATTGTGTAAGCTGGCCTGGGGATATACTACTGCCCTGTGAAGCGGGAGCTCAGAGTTCAAATCCTGCCTCCACAGGAGTGGGGTCTACAACCAGCCTGCCTGGTGGTACCACCATTCATGAGCAGCAAGGCATGGGGCAGATATGGTGGGAACTGATGGTGGGTTCTAGCTGGCTATGCTTTTAGGGGGCTCACATGTTATCACCAAGTATTTTGCAGGCATCATGGCAAAGGAGAGGTTGAAAGGGCAATGAGACAGCTAAATAAAGGGTCTTGCATAGACCTCAGCCAGCCCTGTTGTCTTAAAACCCAGCCAGCTCTTTCTTGCTCCTCTTTCAAAGTCCCATAGATGCAAGATATTCTTTGAGGTAGCTGTGATAAGCTTCAGACACCACCAGCACATGGCTGGGGTTGGGTTGCTCCAACCAGCCCAAGCAACTCAGATGCCTTTGATCAGACACAGCATCCCTGTGGACACACTTGGCCAGGGCACAGAACAGCACAGCACAGCACAGCACATCTACAGTTATCACCTGGTGCAGATTGTGATGAAGACTGATCGTAGGGCTCCTTCTGGGCGCCTCACTGGCAGTGTAGGAGAGAAAGACAGTTCATGATTTTATAGTGATGTTAGCGTATTTACTTGGGTACCACAGTCACCGCCCCCCCCCCAAAAAAAAATTAGCAATTGAAAATTAGGGTGTTTCAAGGCCACTGATTGCCACAAGGACTGGAGACTCTGGGAGCAAGGAGATGGAGGGGCACTCCCCTCCTTGGCCTCACTCTCCCTCCCACTTCTGGGCAGCCAACAGCAATAGGTTTAACCCTCTGATAGGACAGGTCTGGACCCAGTGGTGGCAGCAGGGATGACTGCTGCTCACCTTACTGCCAACTTCTTCTCTCTGTCGGCTCTGGGCGTGCTTTTCAGTGGCAGTCAGTAGGCAGAGTCTGCCTTACAGGGGTGCGGGAGATTGGTGCAGGGAGGGTTGGCATGTTGCAGAGGGGACTTCAGCAGTGAGTGTGGACTCAAGAAAGCTCCAGCTATGCATCTCTGATGGAGTTAGTCTGTAAGGTGCAAGCCACCCCTGCCCTCTGTCTGGTTTCAGGCCTGCTATTCAAGAAAACTGCTGGCCCCTGGTTTGAAGCTATGGCCTGGATTAGCATTTGCAACTCCTCCTTCCTCTCAACCACTCTTCAAGACAACCACTCTCTTTCCAATCTCTCAGTTCTAATTCTCAAAGGGAATTTGCAAAACATCTTTTGTAGATGAGCCAACGAACTTCACTTTATAAATCTACTGGATACAAAAGAAAATCATGAACTAAAGATAGACATTGGATTTATGGCACATTATAATTAGCCTGCCATCCAATAACCCCAGGTAATTTATCTACATTTTACCAGCTACATTTTATCACCAGTTTACATTCCCCTCTTTTGTCCCTCCCCCCACACCTACCTGTCTAACACCCATTAACTCCTATCCCCAGTACCGTAGCATTGGGTAGGGGGCAAGCGGGGTGACCTCCCCAGGGGCCGAAATGTAGGGGCACCGACAGGTGCTGACCAGCCAGGGTGGGGCATGGGATGGAGCCACGAGTGGCTTGTTTTTTGGGGGGGGGGCAGGGGGTTGCAGAGAGGGCAGCACCCACGGGTGCAGGAATGGGGGGAGGGCAGCTCCCACTGCTGTGTGCACTCCCAGGCAAGGATGTGGGGGCATGTGCTCCCTGGATCTGTGCACAGGGTGAGGGCAGGCTGCCGCAGCAGGCTTGCCCCAGGCACCAAACTTCCTTGCTACGGTACTGCCTGTCCCCTCTGATCTTCCCTGCCTCACATTTGCATTTTCCCAGGCCTGCATTTTGCCTATTGGCTTAACCTCAACCCTACAGAGCAGACAAACACTAGCAGACTCTCCCTATGACTGAAGAAGGGCATATACGCCCAAAAGCTTGTAAAGAACAATTTTTCCAACTATTCAATTGGTTTAATTAAAGATATCACATCTATCCAAATAATGTTGTCTCTCTCTGAGCAACGTGTTATGAGGAAGCGTGATTTATGAGGGGACCTGGGGTCAGCTTGCACTTGGACTCTGGCAGTTCAGAGCTGGATCCAAGCTTCCTGCTTGCCCTTGAACTCTGCCCAGACAAATCCTAGCTAGAAAGAGAGCTGAATCATGGAAAAGCCCGGCTGGCTGGGTTTTCTGGAGGTCATCTGGTCCACCTGCCTCATCCAACTGTCCCAATCCCAGCTGTCCCAGAAACATCCTTGTCCTAAAACTATGCAAGAACCCCATTGCACATCTACAAGGCCCATTGCCCCAAAATACCCAAAGCTCCTGACTCTGTCCCAGGTGAGGTTAAATGTACTTGAGAGATCCCAGGCAGAGGCTGTGCCCCACTCTGCAGAGGAAGGCAAAACCCCCCAGTCCAGGAGAGAAGCAATTTTATCCTCTATAACTCATTATCCCTATCTGTAAAATGGGCATAATGATGCTGACCACCGCCCTATAGAAAAATAAGACTGGAGGGGACCTCAGGAGGTCATCTAGTCAAACCCCTGGCTCATGACAGGATGAGCCCTGTCTGAATGATCTCAACCAATTTCTTGCCTTGGCTTCCATCTGACTATGAGGAAAAAATATTTCCTGACCCTAAATGCAACAGTCAGGATGATGCTGAGCAGAGGGATAAGACTGTCTAGCCAGGAACCTCCAGGTTTGAGCCTCAGCTGTAGCATCAGCCTAGCTCAGTCAGCATCCCCAGCTTGGGCTGCAGCCAATAGCTATTGGCTAAATTGTGTATGGTCACAGCTCCAACTAAGACACTCACTGTTTTAGAAAGGCACCAGTGTTTTAGAAAGGCTGTCCTAAACAACAGCCCACTTCATGGAGGCTATGAAACATTTGCCACCTCTTAGCTCATGGAAGGTGCCATGCTCAGCTGAAGGAAAAAGACTCCATCTAGTGGCTGATATCCAGCTTAAAGCAGGGCAAGATCATAAGAACATTGGGTCAGACCAATGGTCCATCTAGCCAGGTATCCTTTCTCTGACAGTGGCAGGGGTGGATGCTATAGAGGGAGATCACATACACAGGGTATACCTAGGGTGATCCATCCTTTATCTCAAAGCCCTCCCTGGGCTTTGATTCTCAGATGCCATAGGAAACATCTCCACCTGTTTCATTCAATAGCCATTAACAGACCTATCAGCCATGAATTTATTCAGTCCTTTGTTGAACCTGGCTCTGCTACCTGCTTCCACCACCTCTTATGGCAATGAGCTCCACAAGTTAACAACATGTTGCTTAAAAAAGTCCTTTCTCTTGTTAGTTTTTAAATGCATCTCCTGCTGCTTTCAATGGGTGCCCCCTACTTCTAGTGTTCTGGGATTGGTAAACAATAGTTCTCCATTTACTTGGTCCACACCCTTCATGACTTTATAGATCTCTATCATCTCCCCCCTCAGCCTTCTCCTTTCTAAACTGAAGAGTCCTGGCCTTTTAGTCTCTCCTGGTCTGGCCACTGCTCCAGGGTAGATTTTCACCTTATAGGACATTATATATAGTATATATAATACATTTTCTTTTTCATTCTGCCTTTCCAAATCAAGGTACGTATCTTAGGCTGGAGCATGTTGTATGCAAAAAAATACGGTATATTACAGTAGTAGTGGGTTCTAACCCTAGTTTGAAATGCATTGGACTGTGTCCCTGTAGCTAAGCTTCCTCTGCACTGGAAACTGAGCTGCTTAGGGGTGATAGTAATATGAATTAATGCCAATTAATTATTGGCAATGCCTAGCACTGATACACAGCTTTTCATATAACCACCTCAATGTTTTTCATGGAAGCCTGGGGAAGCAGTCAGATGAAATGGTTCAGGGGTTGGACTAGATGACTTCCTGAGGTCGCCTCCAGCCTTATTTTTCTATAGGGTGATGGTCGGGTCATTATGCCCATTTTACAGATAGGGATAATGAGTTATAGATTACTAGATTCTTATTGTCCTGGTCTTTATTCAGGCCTGTCATCCTGGAAACACTCTTATCTCCTTAATGGGCATATGTAGGGGGAATCTCCAGCCACGTTTTATTTGCCCTTCAGATGATAACTTACCGCTTTGGGCTTCTTCAACAGATACTTCCAAGTCAAACTTGTTGCACTGGGATTCATTCTTGGTAGACTTTGCATTGTAAATAGTCACCACAGTCAAGACCCCTTCTCCTGTTCCTTCTGCTTTCACAATGAAGTCCTTGTTGAGTTTTGTCTGTGAGAAACCCATGGGTAGACAAGATGAATCTCCCATGAGATTAACTGGATTTCATAGAATCAAAGTCAGACTGGAAGGGGCTTCATGAAGTCACATCTAGTCCAGCCCCCTCCTCAAGGCAGGATCAAACCTGATTAATCTATCCCAGCCCAGTGTTTGTCCAACCTGCTCTTGGAGATATCCACGGATGGAGATTCCACCATTTCCCTGGGCAGCCTGTTTCAATGCCAGACCACCCTCAGAATCAGAACATTCCTCTTCATCTTCACCTTAATTTCTTCTGCTGCAACTTGAGGCCATTGCTCCTAGTTCTGTCTCCTGTGGCTGCAGAGAAAAGCCCCTTCCACCCTCTCTAGAATCATCCTTTTGTTCATGAAATGTATCAGACTGTTAGCCTGGGACTATTCTGATGTTCTCACTTCATCTAACAGCTCCTGGACAAGCACTGCACACCCACCCCATTCCCTTCATGTCCAGTTTTCTTTTGGCAGGAGGCTAGCTCATACTTGCAAAGTCCTATATCAATGTGCTCTGTGCTCTGTCTTATTCTGGGAGGGAATTTACTCTCAGCAACGCCTTCAGTCACTGGCTTTACCATGCTGAGATGGCCAGTAATTGGATCTGGGAATCACTGTCATTGAATTAAGGCACAGGAGTTCCTTCCACATAGGCCAATAAGCAACCATCCTATGGTAACAATGCCTTTTAGATTCCATTTGCGGAAGCTGGAGGTGACCCAGAGATAAGTTTTTGTAGACTATTCCTAACCCTCTGAGTTGATCAATTCAACAGACACTGTTTAAATCTGTAGTCCTCAATATTGCAGATGTAAAGGGTAGCACACTCTACCTTCTACCCTGTATTCACCACCAATGGTGGAGAAACTACTGTGGTCAAGCCTTTCCTGATGGTCTTCTACAAGGAACCACCAGGAAGCAGATTCCTTTCAGAGGCTGCTGGCCACAACCCAGGTGGTCTTCCCTGACTCTGAAGCAAGTGACACTTCAGAGATCTCAAAGGCATAGCTTGGAGAACATTGCAATGGAAGATGCTGCTGACCACACTATTCTAAAGGACAGTCTCACCAGATCAGAGGAAGGCCAAGGAGATGCCATCTGAAATCTGATAATGGATTAAATTCAGAGGTTCTCAGGAAGAGATGCCATGTTGGACCGAATGATGGTGAAGCAACAAGTAGCCCTCTTCTCAGGATTGACCCCTTGATCAATCGCAGGTAGAAAGGCTCAGAAGTAGGCTTTCAAATCTGACTGGCCCTGGAAATTCTGAAGGCTCCAGATCTGTGGCCCCAGCTTTCCTACCAGAGATGACAGCAGAAACAAAAACCCTAACAGTACCTACCTCTGCTGTTCTTGCCAGCATAGCATTGTCGTTCACAATTCTGTACTTGATAGCACTGCTACGACCCGGCAGATGAATGGAGACATCCAGATTCAAGTCCAAATGCTGTGGGATGTCGATCTGATACTGGGCAAGGGCCTGGAACACCATGATGGTGGCCTGGAAAACCCAGAAGAGAAGAAGGTGGCACCTTTCTCCTTGATGGAAACCAACTAAGGGCCTAGCTTTCCATCTCATGAAAGAAACAGCCCTGCATGGCTGGGATTAGAAGCCAGGCCCAGCTGCTTACTGGAATGAATTCAATGTACAACTACAGTTAACTCTACTTAGTAAATACTGCACAGAAACTCAGGGTGTGTGTGTGTGTGTGTGTGTGTGTGTGTGTAACAAAAGGAAAGTCCTCTTCTTCAAAGCCTGGACACTTGAATAATCCATTTACAGCAGAAATGGAACAAGGCTGTCAATATTCTACAGCCTCTACGGGTGGCCTGCTAACTGTCCTGTCAGCTGCTCTTCTTTCTGCTTCCTGCCCTGTTTTCCCTGCTCCTTCTGCTGCCCTGCTTTATACTCCCTGCCCTGTGTTCTCTGACCCATCCGCTCCTCTGCTGTCTGCTTCCTGCCTTATCTGCTGCTCTGGTTTCTTCTCTCTGCCCTGTGCCTCCTGCCCCATCAGCTGCTCTGCTTTCTGCTCCCTGCCCTATCTGCTGCTTTTCTTTCTGCTCCCTGCCCTGTGCTCCCTGCCCCCTCCCTGTTGTTTTTTGCTTTCTGCTCCTGGCCCTGTATTCCCTGCCCCCTCCCTGATCTGCCACATGCCACACAGGGGCCACCCATGCCACTTGTGGCACACATGCTGTGTCTTGGCCCCCACTGAATCAAGCGATGGAGCCTCTATTCTCTCCACAGGGATACCAAGGGGGATCTTTCCATATTCCCCAAGGGTTCTACTCACTTGGGTGGAGCCGTAGCTTCCTTCATAGTGCTTCTGCTCTGAGAGCCACCGCACAATGGGGCCAGCAAGCTCATACTTCTTCATGCGCAGCAGAGCTAGCAGTGCATACGAGGTGCTCTCAATATTGTAGGTACGGGAGCCATCCTGATCTTCCCAGTGGTCCTTTTCAAAGGCTTACAAGGGAAACAGAGAAGGGCAGCTAGGGGGAATCTTGGCTGGGATACAGCACACCATGTTCTGAGTGAGAAAATACTGTTGCCAGGCAAATTCCCAGCCAAAATAGCCTGTGTGGGTCCAAATCTGTGGATAGGTCTACACAACAATGCAAAGTCATGGAGTGTTCCAAAGATTTGCTGGTGGGGTGGATCATAGCATTGTCAGGAAGTCAGGCTGGAAGGGACCTCTGGAGGTCACATCCACCCAAAGTTTCTAAACACTTCATTCCACAGATGTTAATGACCCTTTCTCCATTTTTACCAGTCTTAATGTTCCACTAATCAACCTACTCTTTCTTCTGCAATTCAGCTGTGTGTTTGCTGCTCCATTTAACATAGCTCCTACTTCACAGCCCTGCAGACTGTTTTTAACTCTAGCTAAAAACATGAACTCTGGTGTGGAAATAACTTTCATTAAAGCATTGGATGCACTGACAAGATGCTCATGAAGGCTTGATTTTGTTTTATAGATGTGAAAAAGCTGTACATCAAATTCTAATGACTACAGGTCTAAAGAAATAATGATTTTTGATTATTTTTGCTTAGCTTGCCATGTTTGATATAGCAAATGAATGCCTATTTCAATAAAGTTATACTTGTTCGTGCTTTGATCTTAAACTGAAGAATCCAGCCCTAGCCCCTTAGCATATTAGTAAAGCTTCTGGTTTCCTTTCACCTGGAGAAAAAGATGTCGTTTTATATGGGAGGACACACCATGCCATATGCAGCCCCCTTTTCAAAATCCTCGATCAACCCATGGTCACATCTAGTCCAGCCCTCTGCTCAAGGCAGGATTGCTCCTGACTGAACCACCCCAGGCCAATATCTGTCACACCTGTTCTAGGGATGGAAATCCCACCCCTTCTTTAGAAAGCCTGTTCCAATGCTTGACCTCCTCAGAGTTAGGAAGTTCTTCCTCATCTCCAGCCTCAATTTCCCCTGCTGCAGCTTGAGCCAATTGCTCCTAGTTCTGTCCCCTATGGCCAGCACTGGATTAGGAGTCAGGGTGGAGCAGGGGTGGGGTAGCAAAGTTCAGGTGTCTTGCTATGTCTCTCTGAGGCTGGCAGAGGGAAAAATACAGCAGCCATTTTGCAGCAGTGTCTGTATGCTTCTATTCCAGTGAAGAAAAATCAGCCTTCCCACTTAAGACCCTAATTTTGGAGGGGTGATTTTGCAGGGGGAAGTTGTGTGTGGAATATGAATAAATACAGTACTACTATATGCTCACACAACCACACTCTCTTTTTTTCTCTCTCTGGAAGATCTGAGTAGCCCTTTTGTTTGGTTTGATTGGATTCCTCTAAACTCCCTCCCCAAGTTAAACTCATCTGTTGGGTTGAACAATGACCAACCTTTGGACGCATTCAGAAGCACCCTCTCGCTGTTGAGCCTTCCCAGCAATGCTAACGCATAGGAAGTTATGGCCACTGTATAGGGTCTTGCTAGGGATTCATACTGTTTGGATAAGTATTCTCCAGCTTTGATGATGCTTGTCTTCAGAGCCTGGAAGATCAAAAAGACACAGGAAGAAACTGAACCCATGGATCATGCTGAGGTTGGATTTATTCAGCCACTTTTTTCAAGGAAGGCAAACCATGCTCCTCCCCTGCCCCCTGTCTGTCCCAATCTGATGGGGTAAAATTCCTTCCAGACCCCAGATATGGCATTGGCCTGATCCAGAACAGAAAGGCAAACCTCTCTAGCCAGGAATCTCTGGGTTTGAGTCCCAGCAGGAGCATTGGCACAGCCCAGTCACCATCCCCAGCCTGGGGTGCAGCCAAGACCTAATGGCTCTTAAAAACAACTTGACACATGGAGCAGAAAGGAAGGGAGGCACCTGCAAAATCCAGAAGCCTGGGAAATTCCCATAATAGAGCTGTGCATGTATCATGGCTGACCAATCTCTTTTTGAACACCTCCACTGATGGAGAGTCCACAACTGCCTGGGGCATTTATTCCATTGCCTCATTGCTGTAACAATGAAGAGGTTTTTCCCAATATCCAATGTAAACCTGTTTTGCTGCACCATCAAGCCATGGGTCCACTTCCTACTGTCTGTGGCAAAAGAGGAAAGGGGTTTTCCCCTATTCTTTATGGCAGCCCTTCAAGTATTTAGACAGAAGAAGAAATCTACTGACTTCATCATGGTCAAATTCTTTTCGCTTTGGCTTGATAGCATAAAAAAGACAGATGTGAATAAGCCAAGACATGTGACAGAGATACTAACAGAAACCCGATTTGCACACATGTCACCAGACTCCAGCAGGGCGATAAGAACAAAAGCTGTTAAAGTTGCTTCTGGTTTAGCACCTTGGTAACCTCCCTGAAAAGAAACAAAGGGCAAAGGTCAGAATCAGGAACCACTCAAGTCCAGTGTCAATCAAGAAATACCTTATTTTCTCATACATTATATGCAGCCTTCATCTTCCTAAAATCGGGCTCCCAAAACTGGGGTGCATGTCTTAAGTGGGGAAGCTGATTTTTCTGCATGGAGTAGAGGCTCCCTGCTTTGATTTCTGTGCCAGTAGACAGCAGCAATGGCAGTTCTATTCAGACAGTAAGGGAGTCAACTGACTTCATCGTTTATTGCTCTTTACTCTATAGGTGTTAATGATCACCTCTTCTTTTTAATGGTCTTGATGATCCACTACTCAAGCTAATCTCTGGCAATGCTGCTGTCTGCTAGCTGTTTCTGGTTTCTCCCCTCCTATTTCATAGTCCTGTACTTTTTAGCTCTGCCCCTGTAGCTACAACTCTAGAAAAATCTTTTTTTCTTCATTCTGTCTTCCAAAAACAAGGTGCATTTCTTATTCCGTGGCTTGCTGTATGTGAGAAGATACAGAAACAATAACCTCCTGATATATGACAGACTGAAAGCAGTTCTGACATTTATGGAACAGTCTTCCCATAGAGGAAGTTCCTTTCTTACTGCATTAATTAATAGCTGAGATATACCCCATAGCAAAAGTTCATACTAGGGCAGTGTGAAGCTTTGGGTGCTAATTTGATTCGGAGGAGATTCAGCCCGATTCGGCTGCCGAATCTTCAAATCCAAATCGAATTAGGGGACCAATAAAAAGGTTAAAATCAATTTGAAGCTCTCTGAAATGATTCGGAAAAGATTTGGAGAGTTTCAATGATTTGGGCAGCGCCTGCCCACTGCAGTAGGGCGCTGGAGCCGGACTTGGAGCTGGTAAGAAGGGGGGAGGGGATGGAGGGGCGTGGGGA